TGATGTTTCTAAATCCTTCTGCAACTCTAATTTTTTCTTTTGGGGGACCAAGTCCGGCCTTGCAGAGTGGAAGGAGAAGTGGGCCATGCTCCTGCCCTGATTCCCTCAGCACTGCTGCATGAGAAGAGCTATTTGCAGAAAGGATTTGCCCCTGCGGTATGGGGTTTCCTATTTCTCCTGCCTGCTCTCTGGCCATCCTACGGCTGGAATTATGCTGCCTCCAAGAGGGCTGTTTCCAGCTGCAGAGGGGAACCACAGGTAAGCTATAGAAATTCAAGCTGGATTAATAATACCCCAGATTTTCCGTAGGGCTGAAGGCTGATGGCTTCTTTACACAGCTTATTCCGCCTCCTCCCCTCTGCTCAGATTTCCTTTTTCATCCTAAGCCGCTTCTAGCCTGGCCTCAAACCAGCCTAATAGAAGATTTTCCCTTACACGTGAACCACAGTGAAACAAAAAGAACAGCAATAGAAACCTGCAAATCTGCTCCTCCACTTGATACTAAAGCTGTGAGCTCTTGCAGGTTGTTAGCACTAGCAGTTGACGAGTTTTAGACCTGGCTGTACGAAATGCATTTGTGAAAACATTCGCTTGCTTGTTTGGAAGAATATTGTGACATGCAGCTCTTCTCCCAGTTTTACAGAGTGCTGAGGCGGAGAAATATGAAATCTATATTTAATGAATTAAAATTTTACCCAGTGTAAGCAATTATATCTCCAATGCAGCCAGCTCTTGCCAAGTTTTACAATAAAACAGTAGCTATCACCTGACATTTATTTCTTCAATAAAGCCATACTAGAGATCATTATGTTTTCATGCTGAGATTGTTAGCAATCTCAAAATCGACAGAAAAATTTGGCCTTTGCAGCAGGACTGCAACATAGAATTTATTAAGGAGAGCAAGACAGGAGAAAAAAAAAATCGTACGTGTATTCCTTTAAATTAAGGGGATTACTGTAATGGGACATCTGGTACTTTAATGTGCAGACTGCAAAGTCGCTATGCTGTGTCATTTTAATCCCCATAAGTAAATGCTCCCTCCCAGCTTCCTTTCCTACATCGGTTGTTCTGCTGCTTGCTGTCCTTGTGTACGGGAAGAACGACTCCAAGGACAAAATGTTGAGAAGCGATGTGATTTTGCACACACTTTGTCAGGCTCTATCTCCAGACCTTCTTTAGATGTGGGAGAGGAGCGAGGCGATGCGGTACGGCTCAGTCACATGCGTTCACGTCTCAGCTTCAGTAAGACACGACATGACTTCAGGCAGACCCAGAATTTCATAGGGGAACGGTTAAATAACTGAGAACAACCAAAGCGGAGCAGAGCAAAATCAGGCAGCGAGGGGTACATGCCTACAGGCAGCCCGAATCTGCAGAAGAAGGAAAATTGCAAAGCTGTATATTCTGCATAACAAAAGAAGTGTACTTCTGATGAAGGCTGGCTAAATTTATACCAATTTTGGATAGGTGATAACAACAATTGCTATTGTAACCCTGGGTAATTCCTCGGTGTAACTATCAACCCCACCAAAGTTTATTACACATATGTTAGCTGGGGATTTGTGAAGTCTGGATAGTTGTTAGTCTCTGGATCAGGATAACATGCTACTTTTTTTTTTTTAATTCTTTATTTCAAACAGTAGATTATTTCCCTTTCTAATTTTAAAGAGGACTCTTCAGAACAGATGAAAATTTTATTCTGCACTGACAGTCCATATCTGTGTTTGAAAGAAATGTTTTGCAGTTTTTTGCAAAAAAGTCAGATTTATAATACTTTCTAATATATTTATTTTTAAACGTTCTTTCTATTAAACATGCATTTCGTGTTGAAGAGAACAACCGTTTGTGAATGGCCGACTTTCATTAAATAGATGATAAGTGTTTACCGATAATAATTTCATCAAACAAATGATAGTATTTAATTTTTTCACAGGATTAATACATTTGATGTGCAAGAATTATCATAAACTAGTACTGAACTTTTAAACAATCTGCAGTCAGGAAATTGGCCCTGTGCCATATCATTTGTTTGGTTAATTCAGATTAACTCAGAAAAGCAGGTTGCGAATCTTAAGTATTATTATTAAAAATTCCTTTGAAGTTAAAGTGAGACAAATATAGGGATTTTGTAACTTTTGCAATGTTTTTTGGAAATGGCTAGTACTGCTTTTAACATTGATTTACTTTAGTTTGAAAATTTTCTAAGCAAGACTGCTTTTTGAGAAGTATTAGAAAGATTTATTTTTTTCTTTTGGAAAAAAAAAAAAACCAAGAAGGGCTTAATAAGCCATTTTGAAGCACGGAGCTGCAATATGAACAATTGATTTTGCTTTTTACATACCTACGTTAGGGCTGTTCAGGT